TTTTCTATTGGATTCAAGTCATTCTAGCATTCTAACTTTCTTTCTCTGAAACCAATCGAGTTTCCTTGGCTGTGTTTGGGATCATTGTCTCGCTGAAATGTCCTCCCTTGTTTTATCTTCATCATCCTGGTACTGTAGGTGTTGGCACTGAAGCAGCTAATATTAATCTCCACTGACGAGGGGCAGGATTGCTTTCTAATTACTGGTAGATTTCTGCTGGTGTCTTGGCTTTCCATGCCTTTTTGCACCTCCCTTTCTTCATGTGTTCAATACTTTTTCTCTGTGTCATTCTATTTTATTACACATAATTTAATTTCTGAACTTATTTGTTTTGTTTTAGTTGTATGTATGGATTAGTTGGGTTGTTACTGACATCTGGTGAAAATTTCAAGTCAACAGCACCTTCAGAAATATATTTACTGAGAAAAATGCTGACGTGTTCAAAACTGATTTTACCCGCTGTATCTATATAGTGTTAATACCGCATATCGCACTATTGAGCCACTCAGAATGAGCGCTTGGGAAAGTTCTAGTGTGCTCTGTTCTTCAGGACGTGGAGAACATCTTCAGCCGGATTCTTTAAAAACATTACAAGACTTACTGATCCCAAACTTTTGATCGGTAGTGTATATATATTATATATATATATAAAGTTTGTCTCCCCCAGTGTTCAAGACAAGGTTACGGACTTGTTTGGATCACATGCATGTTCATGTCTTTGCGTGTGGACGTACGTCAGGAACTCCGTGGCTTTGCTCAGATGAGGCGTAATGAGCAGAAAATCATCCACCAGCCGCATGAGACACCTGCCAACGACAGACACACACAATCATTAAACACACACAGGGCTCGAGACTAAGACCAAAAATCTTTTGAGAATGTGCGAGTTAAAAACAAAACAAAAAAAACACGCAAGACCGGTCACGGACAGCCAGTTTAGTTTTACTTTTCTTTTTGTTTTCGTTTTGAAAAGCTTGTTATCTTTGCCGTTTACCTCCCGTCACGCTATGGAGGCTCTCTTTATTATTATGATTTATTTGATTCCTCAGTGTTTGCTAAACATTCTGTAATTTATTAGTCGTATATAATACAGCATGTGGTGTGTGCCATGCCTCGTCTTATTCGTTTTTGTTAACAAACGTTTTGTAAGCCATAGCCTACTGTTTTATTGTTGTTGTGATTTTAGTTAAGAATAGCAATGAATCCATCTTTTGTTTTTAGTCTTAAAAAGTGAAAGGTGTACAGATATAAGCAAAACAGACAAAATACAGTGAGAATGCCATGAAAATATTAGAGCCCAACCGATACGGGTTTTTTGGGGCCGATACCGATATTTGGGAGTAAAAAAAGGCAGATATCGATATATCGGCCGATATTCTTTGTGTATATTATGGTACAGTACCAGTCAAAAGTTTGGACACTTTCCCATTCGTGTGTCCAAACTTTTGACTGGTACTATATATAGAATACAGTATATACATAAACAGAATATATATACATAAACACATTTTTTGCAATGATCACTCAAATGTGGTGATCAAACACTTATAATGGTGACAGAGATATGTAAGGGCATTTAACAATTTAACAATAAACTTGCGATGAGTGCGATGCACAAAGTAACGGGGTGTTAGTTGTAACACACGTGGTTTGAATATTTATTTTACCATAGTAACATTTAAATTCTGGCTTAAGGTTCCCTTGGAACTGGAATCATGGTGGAATATCATGTGAAGTCCACTTCGCACGGCTCGCAGGGCAGAATAAGACAACGCTTGAATGCTGCTGCCTGAACAAGAGACCTCCTTACTGAAGTGAAAGAAGTGAAAGT